GCATAACAGGCTAGCATAGAATTATGATTTAAATGCAATCTCGGAAAGTCTGAAACGTAGAATAGATAGAGTATAGGGCCAGTCACAGAACCCTGTGGAACACCGCTAGTCATTATTTTAGTGCTGGATAATTCATTTTTTACCGAGACTCTGAATGTCCGATCCCTGATAAAAGAATGGATTAGCAGAATGAGTTCTCTGTCCAGTTGAAGGTCAATTAATTTAGCAATTAAGCCCTCATGCCAGACGCGGTCGAATGCTTTCGCCACGTCTAGCATGAGTATAGCAACATTAAGTTTGCAGTGCAGAGCTGCACCAGCGAATTCGGTTATTCGGACAAGTTGCTTCGTTGTTGAGAGGTGAGCACGGAACCCAAATTGTTCCGGCGGAAGATGCTGAAAATATGGTTTCAGTCTATTCAGGATAATTCTCTCAAAAATTTTGCCTAAGCCCGGCAGTAGACTAATAGGACGATATCCGTCTGGTCGGGTGTGATCTTTCTTTAGCCGGTTTAGGTAGTAAAATAATTTTAGCAATTTTCCAAGGTGTTGGAAAGTAAGAAAGAGCAAGACAAGCATTAAAAATACTTGTCAGGCTGCAGATGATGTTAGGCGGCAAATTTTTAATTGCTGTATTGCTGATTTCATCAATTCCTGGAGATTTCTTTTGTCTCAGGTGTTTGATAATATTAGTCGTTTCAGTAGGAGTGGCATATTTAATTGGAAGTCTGACTGAAGGGGCGTTGAGCCAATCCCTCACTCGTAGGAGGGTCTTTAATTCGAAATCAGAGTCATTTGGCCAATCATTTGGCGAGAACTGTTCTTGGAGGTGTGCTGCGAAGATTTCTGCCTTTTCCTGATTGGAGATGGCAATATTACCTCTGTCATAGAGGGGTCGATTACTTGTGAAGGAAGTTTTAAAATTTTTGATTAAAGACCAGAATGTACCTTCTCTAGAATCCAGATTTAACATTTTATCATCCCATAGTTCTTCTTTGAAGGTTTTAATAGCCTTCTAAATTTGCTTATTTTTTGTGATTTATTTCACGTTTAAGTGCCGGTTCCCACGTTAAATGATAACATTTCCTGAGTCTATTTCGCTCTCTCATAAGCTGTCGTATTTTAAGGGGCAGTCTAAAAGCCTTATCACGATTAGTAATTTCAGTACTGGCTTCTTTAATTGCACCTTGAATGCTTTCACTTAAGGCATTAATTACGGTGTTTATGCCTTGTTTGGTATTGAGATTTTGCAGTCGAGGAGGTGAAGTTTTTCATGATATTGCTGAAGAGATTCCAATTCGTAATTCGCTTAGTAGAGAACTCAGAAGTTTTTGTCACTCCTAATGTTGCGATTACGGGGAGGTGGTCAGAGGACAATTCATGAAATACTTCCATTGCAACGGGGATAGTCGTTGTAGTGACTGCAATGTCTAGTATATCAGAAAATTCAATTCTATTATGAAGCCGCGTGTATTCTGGTGGGGCATGTAGCGCCACCGGATGCTGTAAAATATATTCATGGAGAATTTTACCATTTAGGTTTGTTCGACGACAGTTCCAGTCTATATGCTTAGCATTAAAGTCCCCGGCAGCAAGGGTAGGTATGTCATCCGGTAGAATGCTATTTAGAAAATTATCACATAGTCTATTCGTTAGGAGGGTTATACACAGCACAAAAATTGATGTTATTAAACACAGGAAGAGTGACACACACAGTAGTTTGCTCACAATTAAAATTTCTTGAATCAGATATAAGACAAGATGCATAATTACGTTTCACATATATTGCCACACCACCACCTCTGTGTGAAAGTCTATCACAGCGGTATGAATTATAATTTGCAATTCTCAGGCGTTGGCATGGTTTTGCATGAGTCTCTGATATGATTGCAATGTCAATATCATGCTCACTTAAAAAATGGTGCAGTTCAGTAATTTTGGTGGGTAGCCCGCAGGCATTCCATATCATTATTTGTACGGGAGTACACTTTTTCATGTAATTAGCCATTAACAGGGGCTGCAGGAGTATGATCTTGAGATACGTTTGATTTTGCCATCAGAGTAAATCCAGTTTCTTTTAGAAGCAGAGACAAGCATACGTAGCTCAGCTGCAACTTGTTTTGCTTCAGTTAGAAATTCAGGAGCGAGGCCGGTGTTTAAAGCTTGTGCATAAGTTTTTATTATGCACTATATACCCGATCAGAGAACGTTTTCACAGCCGGAGTGGTTTTTGGTTTTGGAAAACGCACACATAATCTGTAGTTAGCTGTATGACCTATCTCATGACAATTGGCACATTTAGGCGGAGTTGCCTTATCCTTGTCACAGTTAAATGATTCATGAGGTTCACCGCAACGAACACAACGTGGTTCGTGATTGCAGTGCGATTGGGCGTGATGGAACCCTTGACAGCGATAACACTGCAAGGGTCCCTTACGGCCACGGTATCTCTCAACACTAATCTTCATTCCCAGCACAAATTTTAACTGGTGTATCTCCTTGTTTTTCTCCTTGCGGGTGAGAGTAACGAGAAACAGGGGAAGCTTAATAACTTCTCCGTTACGCCTGATAGTGAGTTGGTTGACCCGCACGACGTCGAGTCCATGTTCTTTAAGATCCATCATAATTTCCTCAGGGTCCATGTAAGACGGGAGGTTACGTATCACAGCTTTTATATGTTTAGATTCGGGAAGCGCATAGCAGTGATACCTGATGCCTTCTTCTTCTAACACTTTTACCATTTCCCGATAAATGGTGGGCAATTTCACTTTAATCTTGATTCCGTCCTTCATGTTTTCTCCATAGAAATCGTGCAGAGAAAAATTCTTATTATTAAACAGCGTTTTTAAGTCATTCCATGTGAATCTGCTGTCTTTGATTATAATCGGCGGCACTTTTCTCGCACTGTTGATCGGAGCGTTCTGATTGGTTGGAGGTGTCTGCACTGGGGCGGGGTCTGTGTCCATATTCTGTTGCGGAGTGAGATCAGCAACAGGGTGAGTCTTTGGAATTTCAGGAGCAGTCGCAGCAGCCAGGGGTGCAACAGCTTTTTTCGCAGGTTTTCTGGTGCGTCTGGTTCTGTCTCCTTTGGGTTCTCCATCGGAGTCAGAGCTGACATCTAAAGCCTTGTATTTTGTAAAGTCCTCATCCGACCTGGCGGGACTCTCAGCACGTCGAGCGTTGATCTTTGGGAGAGGCGGGAAGCCAGGGTTGTCATCAGTTTTGGTCTTAGCACGTCGTCGTCCTGTGTTCTGGAGTTCACAAATTCCTGGTCAGCAGCAAGAGCTCGGAATTTTTTGAACAAATTCAGGTCTCTTGTTTCTTCAGGGGTAAGGAAACCTTTGTCTTCTTGACGGAGTTCCAGCTGAGTAATCTCAGTTGCAATGAAGTCCAGAAAACGTTCCATGATGCCGGTTGATGAAGTAGTGAAATGCAGAAAGTCTATGCTTAAAAAGCACAGGGTAAAAGCAGGTCGTTTTACAGCATACTAAACATAGTGGTTTGCATGCTGACCTGAATACACAATCGAGAGAGCACAGCAGTTTCTCAGTCACAATAGTCAAACTCAGAAAAACGAGAGGTTAATACTGCAGAACAGCGAAAACGCAGAGCGAGGGGACGAGCACCTTCACGCTCAGGAGCAAGCAGTCGAATGAGCATGAGGTTCAGAAAGATTATTCTGGATTTTAACCGTAAGTTTTGTCTCAGTAAGAGTAATGGTGACCAAATTTATAAGTTTTTCAGGTATTGCAAATTCTCTCATAGCTTCAATTAAATATTTTCTGTTTACTGAATCATAGGCAGTCTTAAAATCAATAAAAAGGTGGTGCGTTGCAATGCCATATTCATTAGTTTTTTTTTTTTTTTTTAATTTGCCTAATGTTAAAGATTTGTTCTACTGTAGATCTTCCTTTGCGGAAACCACATTGATAATCACCTACAATATTTTCTGTATAAGTTACTAGTCTACTAAAAAGTATATTGGAAAGAAGTTTGTAGAAAACACAAAGGAGACTGATTCCCCTGTAGTTGGTACATTCCAAAATGTCTCCTTTTTTGTGTATAGGACAGACGATGCTCAGTTTCCAATCTTCGGGTAAACCTTCTTGGTTCCAAACTGATTCGATGAGGTGGTGTATTTCCTCAATGTTTTGACCTGCAGCATTTTTAATAAGTTCTGAAGTAATCGAGTCAGGGCCTGGCGCCCTGTTATTTCTGAGCTTTTTATTTTCTTCTCTAACTTCTGCCAAAGATGGTGGCGGGATGTTATCGGTAGTTACAACAGGTAGTTGGGTAGGTTGAAGACCAATCCACTTATGATCATTCAACCAGTTACTCATTCCACCTGTGGAGTTCCTCTTTTCTATCATTTGGGCTCACCAGCGACCGAGCGGTAAAGTCGCTGAACACTGGTAGTTCGGTCCGAGGTTCGAATCCCGCGAACGGGCTGGCTGCATGGGCTTTTCGTGATTTTCCTCATGTGTAACGTGTATACGAGCCAGTTTCCCTTAGAAAGTCCTCCACGAAGGCATCCCTTCCCTTAGGCAGATAGCCCTAGTGTGCTTTGCCATAATTAAATAAACCAAAAAAACCAAACCTTTTCTATCATTTAGGATGATGTTGTTTTTGCTCTACAGGCAGTAGTTCTAGGCTTAAAATCTTTGTGGCCAAGATTAATTTCACGGCTTTAATTGAACTCCCTCAGATGTTCAACTTACTTAAATAGGTCGTCGTGAAATGTCTTTTCTTAAGCCGATGGATCTTCTGTTTTCTAGATCTCTTATATTCCTCAACAGAAAGTCTTGAATGCCGCTTTTGGACCATATTTTTATAAACAGCTCTTTTTGCCTGTGTTACGAGGAAGCATTCATTATCAAACCAGTCCCTTGGTTTAGGTTTTTCCATATATCCCTGTGTGTTGTCAGCTGAGTGTATGATTGAGTCTTTGAGCAAACTCCACTTATTTTCCACGGTTTCCAGTTCGGCCATGTTTTTAGATCTTTATTCTCCCCTGAGTGAGGACTGGAAACTTCGTTCAATTGCCTCATTTTTCAGCTTTTCACAATCAAACTTTTTTTTCCACTTTCCCTGTATCTTTCGGGCGTTTAAAATTTTAGCAATTAATTTAGCAATAACCAAAAAGTGGTCGGAATCACAGGTGGCGCCTCGATAAGTTGTAACATCCTGGATATCCGAAGAATGCCTAGAATCGATGAGTACATGATCAATTTGATTCCAGGTTTCTCCATCAGGTGAGCGCCAAGTTATCTTATGTATTTTCTTGTGGCTGAACACAGTGCTTGAAACTATCATGTTGTGTTCAGCAGCAAAAAGTAGTAGACTTTGTCCATTGTCATTAGTACCATCATATAAGCCATGCTTTTTAATTGTTGGTCTAAATTCATCCTCTTTACCCAATTTAGCATTCATATCTCTCATAACAATTTTAATGTCATACTTGGGACAAGATCTGTATATCATAGAAAGTTCCTCATAAATAATTTCCTTCTCTTCCTCTTCTTGGTCTTCTGTAAGTGCATGTCTATTGATAACACTATAATTTAAAAACTTTCCCCTTAGCCGAATTTTGCAAAGTCGGAGGGATTTAGGAACAAAATCAATCACTAAGTGTTTTAAACTTTTTTTCAATAAGAAACCAGTACCAAAAACATGTTTTTTCACATCACAGCTATAGTAAACCGTGTGTTTTCTTTTCTCAATGGTACCTTCCCCAAGCCATCACATTTTCTACATACCAAGTAGATCCATATTATATTTTTCAAATTCTTCTATAAGAAATTGCAGTCCCCTACTGTAGTACAATGTCTGGACATTCCAGGTGAAAAGTCCTTAGGCCATTTCTAAGTCTTTTTTTTTTTTTTTCCAAGTCCAGTAGAAGCAGCAGTCCGGCTAATTTTATCCTTGGATTTCTTAACAGTAAGATTTTTTACGGGGTGGGGCAGTTGGCCCCACGCCCAACCCCCGATCTGGAGGACCAGCCCCGTGATATAATCCCCCCGGCTATACCCCCAGACGCTGGGTACCCATTTTAGTCGCCTTTTACGACATGCATGAGCTACATCGGGACTATTTTTTCACACCCGTTCACCACACGAGTGATACTAGCAGGTAGACTGTTAAAAAATTGCTGGACTTCGGAATTCTGTTAAACCAGTCGTAAAATGAACGCGCTTCGAAGTCTTTGTGCGTTAACTAATTAATATTCAAAGAGTATTTTCGGGTTATTTTCCTTTCACGAACTGTTCCCGTATGTGACTGAGTTCGTGGTTTTCATACGTATTATCTACGACTAATATGGAAGTTATCCTTCTTTTTGGTGAAAATTAGCAGTGGTGATTATCGATTTTATTGTAGATAGAGAGTTCACTAGCTTCGTCTATTCTGATTGTTTGATCCTTAATAAGCAATAGAAATATTTAAAAAGGTTTTTTGTTACTATCGGAATTTTTCATTCCGGAACCAGATCATGAAACAGAAAGGTAACATTATTATTAAAAACAACTGTTATTGCTTAATATGCAATGTTTATAGCAAATTAAGGGGCTCATACACCTTAAACCCCTTATGATCTTCGAATATGTGACTGTTGCAAGAATTTATTTTATTTATTTTAAAAGCGATTACTTCCAACTCTTTACAGATGACAACATAATATAGCTGCTTTGGAAACTAGTAACCAGAAAGATTGTGTTGCCACAAATATTTTTGTAATTTAATCCGCTTTGGGGCAAAATATTTCGCCGTGTTTCCACATTGCGCGCATGATATTTGAAAAATGGATAGTGGTACATACTTGAAAGTGGATGGAATTCTTTATATGGGCACTATCTTCTAACTGAACCAAAAATCTGATGAATATTTTAATATTTAAAAACTTTATGCACGAAAACATTACAGATTTTTTTAATAATATACATTTTATAAACTCAACTCCAAATAAAATAAGAAATTAACATGAAATTCTTAGGAATTTTTGGTACACAGTAGTTTTCCAAATCTTATAAAAGCTATATATTAAATATGGAAATTATATCACGCAACAGAATGTTCTTAAACTGTGCGCGCAATTGTGGAAATATGACTTGAACGCATAAAAACATTTTGTCACACAGCAGATTAAATTATAAAAATAATTTTTGGCAACGCAAACTTTCTGGTTACAATTTCAGAAAGCAGCTATATTATGTAGTCAGCTGTAAAAGGTTGGAAGTAATTGCTTTTGAAATAAAAGTAAGTAATCTCAATTCTTGCAGCAGTCACATACTCGAAGATCTTATGGTTTATAAGCTGTACGAGTCCCCTTAAGGAAACGATGGAAGCTTTTCAGGATTATGAAATATATACTGTTTATACGGTATGAAATTTTGATATTAGTATATCCTTTTAACAAAAATAGCGAACGTATGTGCTCGTATTCGACGAAACAGAAATTTCATGCTAAGTGTATTTTATATAAAATGGTAAGATTATGTGAGAATGCTTGATATGTTATTTCGTAAGACAACATAGTATAGCAATGTGATATGCATTTATGACATTTCAATATGAATCCTTGGTTGCCTTACGTAATATCAAATAAATAAACTGCTCCACATCTAGTTATAACGAAACCAGGTGAATTCTTGGAAACCATTACTGTCGTCTGCTGTTCCGAATACACAACTGTGGAAAAAAAGAATGTTAGGGAATGCGGAAACTTATTCCATTCCTATTGTTGCGTGCATATAGGTTTATAGTGGATGGAATGCGCACAAAACCGATGATAATTACATAAAATTTATTTTTACCAAACGAAACACCTGACAGTTCTGGAACTTTCCACAAAAACGCTAATACAGCTCTTTTCATTATCACAGAATACTCAGTAGTTACTCTTCAAACTACTAAGAACGTTAAACACAGCGTAATGTAAACCGCGTTTAAAAAGGCGAAGCTCCTACGGAGATCTCTCAGTACATCGAATTCACGCTAAAATAAACAATTGTGAAACTTGTAAGGTATATTTTAATTTTATAATAGTTATTTTAATTTGGAAAACCTTTCCTATCAATTCTTGTTTCCACTTACAACTCCCTGCCAGAATGAGCATCAAGGTCATTTCATATACAATGAATATTTTGTTACCCCCTGTTTTAACTGCGTATGGAAAAGAGGAAGTTTGTGAAAAAATAATTCGTGGAACGAAGGACTTTCAAAGAAATTCATTATAAAAGTGTACATTTGACTTGGAACTAAAACTTTCTTTTAAAGGAAAGAGCATTTTTAGAATCCTTCACTACAGGTTGCAATATTACCATCATCGGTGTCAGATTTCCTGCACATATATGGCACAATTTATGAAGCGAATATTTTTTAGAATGTAGGGACGCAATAGGTGGCAAACTTCACCCATTAGATAGGGCGCACACTATTCTACACCCAGAAACATAGATGGGGGCGTCTTGCAAGGTTCTGTTTTAGGGCCTTTATTTTACTTAATCTATGCCATGGACTTCCCGATGTTTGATAATAACAGTATTTGCATCACGGCATGCTATGCCGATAATATGGCCGTTCTTTCTTCCTCACTGAACCCTAGCCATGCTATTACTCGCATCCAGGGCAGAATGCGTGAGATTGAACACTGGTGTCGAAAATGGAGGACTAGCATTAAAAATGCATCTAAATCTAAGCTTTTACTCATTGGCTAGTATTGAAAGAAAACTGTAGATGTTGACTTAACATTATTTAACGTAAAGGTGCCTAACGTCACTAAGGCTACTTACTTACTTAGGACTAAAATTCAACTCCAACCTCATCTGAAATCCTCATGTTACTACAGCCATTGGCAAAGCAACTGCTGTGCTCAGGAAACTGAATAACATTCTTATTTCAACATCAATGCTGGACCCTGCTAGGAAAAGGAGGATTTACACCTCCATTCTCCGCCCAGTATTAACTTGTGCATCCCCGACCTCGTGCACGGCTTCAAAATCTGACTATTTAAAGCTTCAAACTTTTCAAAATAATTTTCTCAGAAAAATAGCAGGAGCTCCATGGTTCATATGCAACGCAGACCTTCATAAATTTAAGGTAAATTCACCATTTTAAGGTAAACTCGAAGACATCAAAACTTACATCCCCGGAAGGATAAATAACGACTTCTATACCGGTCGCGGACACTTAGCCGACAACCACTTAGCCGACACCAGTTAGCCGACAAGACATTTAGCCGACAATGACACTTAGCAGACATGGACACTTAGCCGACACGGACACTCAGCCGACAGGACATTTAGCCGATAGGACATTTAGCCGACAGGACGTTTAACCGACACGGACACTTAGCCGACAGGACGTTTAACCGACAAGGACACTTAGCCGACAGGACATTTAGCCGACACAGACACTTAACCGACAGGTCATTTAGCCGACACGGACACTTAACCAACAGATCATTTATCCGACAGGACATTTAGCCGACATGGACAGTTAGCCGACACGGAGAGTTAGCCGTTAGGACATTTAGCTACGAAACCCTTAACTGTCAAGACATTTAGTCAACACTAAGCCGATAGTGAAGTTTAGCTGACACGTACCCAATAATTATTCAAACTTTCTATGGATTACAAAATTTCTCGATTCTTCTATCAGTTCAATATTTAAGTTATTTTTTTCACTATCAGTAAAATCCAGTTTTCGATTCTTAAAGATCTCATTATGTGCTTTTAATTATTGTGTTAATTTAGCATTGTTTGATATGTATCGTCGTGTTTGGTGTATATTGGCAAAATTGAAAAAGCGCTGAAATTTCTCGTCATAGAATATGAATTAAATTTCGAAAGGGAAAAAGAATTTTTTTAGCTAAGTACGACGGTCACTTAATTACATTTTAATATGGGATCTTCAAAAATTATCCGTAATGCTTCTTCATTTAATCAACTGGGTTCTTTTGAACACTTTCCAATGATTAATAATTTCCCTTGTTTACTTAATGATAATAATTTTCCAGTCTTGCTCTTAATGCTTAAATGCTTTCAAATTTCTAATATCTTTTCATTTCATTAATATTTTACTCATCACATCATGTTACATTCTTTCCCTTACAAAATCGTTTGGCTCCTCCCACTAATGAAATTTCCTTTCCCTGTCCTATGAAGCGACGCAGTCGCAGATGTATATATCCAGCCTTTGCCTTACCGTGTATATAGCAAGTGAAATTACTGAGCATAACTTTTTCTGTGCTAGTATCAACTTCAGGAGATTTAAATGCGAAGCATTCAGATACCAGTTTATCGAAGTAGGAGGTGATGAGCAATTATATTCGTTGGGAACAATTATAGTGATTTGGCAGATACTGTATAGGCATAACTTGCTTGTAGGAATATCGTGCGAGAATTAGTAGTGAAGTGGAATCATTCATTTAGTGTTACGAAGCGCAGTTATTGGAGAAACGTTGTAGGCTGGACTGAACTGGCTGCAATAAAAGTTATTGTTATTCTTGATTATATTTTCATATAGAAACATATGGTGATGAGGGTAAGTTTAGCAAATGTATTTTATTTTGTTATTAGAAACAATTAAAAAAAGTGAATTTGTAAGACAAGCAAAGGTAGGAATTATTTGTGACCTCTATAATTTGCAGTTCATATCACCATTCTTGAGATAAAAAAAATTGTGACATTTTATTGACCACGCCTCTCGCTTAAAATACTTACTTAGAATGTTTATTGCTCTAAACTAGTGCATAATGTTTAATTTAGAAGTAAAATATACTTTAAGGTTTTGATTTATTCTTAATTGAAGCTGCAGAAGGAGGGGCCACAAAGTAGGGCGGAGCAAAGCGACACATCGTGAAAAGTCACCGTAATTTAGTGCCATCTAACGATGCTAGATTTAACTATATCTGTCATGCAAATAGATAATTTTATTTACTATGTCTTGAAAGTCGCGATATGTAATTTGCAATATAATGTGTTATATTAATGTTGTTCTTATAAAATATAACTTTTCTCAATATCTGTTAAAAATGTATAAATTTTCATTTAATGTTTCATTAATTTAATTTTTTTTCCTCTTTCATTCCTTCTCTTTCTCATTTTTGGTTTAACGGCCACCTAACAGAAGTAAGTTTGGTTTATGTAATTACGGCAAAGCCAGAGAGCTATTTGCCTAAGGGTAAGGCTGCCTTCGTGGAGGACTTTCTAAGGAAAACTGCCTCGTATACATGTTACACATGGGAAAAACCACGAAAACAGACTGTCTGTTCGAGGGATTCAACCATTACCATGTAGCTAAACCGAAAACGAGAAAAGGAAGGAATGCAAGAGGAAAAAATAAAATGAATGAAAAATGAAATGAAAGTTTATACATTTTTAGCAGATATTGAGAAAAGTTATATTTTAATAAAAGTTATATTAATGTTTATTAACATTAATATAACATATTATATTGAAAGAACATTAATATAACATATTATATTGAAAATTAGACATCGCGACTTTCAAAACATAGTACATTATATTATCTGTTTACATGACTGATCTAGTTAAATCTAGCATTCATAGATGGCATCACATTACGTACGGTGGCCATAAAGAAGGCAATTCTCCTCTCCTACCACTTCGCGAATCGCATCATCATATGCAGTGACTCCTACAAGCGCTACAAGGTACTACCTGCAGAAGTCCCCCAGTGAAAGAGATCCAGAAACTCCTCCTTCATGTCCCACTGACTCTGCGACCGATCTTTTTCTGGGTCCCGGCCCACACTGGGATCACGGGAAACGAAATGGCTGACAGACTAGCAAGGCAAGCTGCGGGAGGCACGTCACTCCCTGAAAACCCACTGCATTTCCCTGGCTCTTTCCTCAAAAAACAAACGATGGAACAACTTATGGTCCAATGGCAGACGCGTTGGAATACTGGTGATACAGCCCGCCGACCTTACACTTTTCTACCGAAAGTGGGCTTATCCCTGCGTACCTCGTCACACGCACTCACAGTCTTCCTCACCGGACATGGGCCATTTCTCACGTACCTTATGCGATTCAAGATCATAGATGATGACATGTGCTCCTGTGGCCAACCTGGCTCACCAGACCACTTCGTATTTGACTGCCCTGCCAGTATCACCTCCAAAGGCCCTCAGAGCAATTTTGGCCCGAATGGACAAAAGTGATTATGCAGTGATTATGCCCGAATGGACAAAGTGATTATAATCGTCCTCAATGTCTTGTCATTAATAATCGTCATCTATGTTATGTCACTATAATGGTCATCTATGTTTTGTCACTATAATCGTACAATCTATTGTCACTATTCATCTACTTAATCGTCATCTAGTTTTGTCACTATATATCTATGTATCATTATGTTCTATTCGCACTACTATTTTAATTATTCGCAGCCACTGATTATATGTATCTATTCATTATTATTATTTCTAACTATGCACTGACAGTACAGATTGTAATGTTAATCATATACTAATAGCATTGAATACTGTGTAGTCTTATTGTACCACACACTGATTTGTATGTTATTCAAAATTTCGATTTGCTCAGCCTATCGCATTGCAATATGACCACAGTACTGTACTTACTACTATATGTATTTATAACCCGATTTTACTGTAGCTCGTCCTCGAGACAGTCTGCGGTGACACAACAGGTCACCAGCATTATACATGCTGACTTTCTTTATTTGTAAATGTTGGTACCACGTACTTTATTATATGTATTTACTTACCGCTAATTTATATTTAACTTTCTATTGATTTTACTGTAAGCACAACCAGCTATGTACAGTTTGTTTTGAATTTTGTATCTGCTCTGCACCCGATTACATATGGCACCATACTATTTGTAATTACTTACCACTAATAAATTTAACTAATTACTGATTGTACTGTCAGCACAAAGAGCTATGTACAGGTTGTTTCGAATATTGTGTATACTCCCTGCATTTGATTACACACGGTACTTTACCATATGTAATTATTTACCACTAATATTTACAACTATTTTCCGATTGTACTGTAAGCACAAATATCCATGTACAGTTTTTGTTTCGAATTTGTATTTACTCTCTGCATTTAATTTCACACGGCACTTTGCTATACGTAATTTTTACCACTTATTTATATAACCTTCTGCTGATTGTACTTTAAGCACAAATAGCCATGTGCAGATTATTTCGAATATTGTACTTACTCTCTGCATTTGATTACACATGGCACTTTATGTAATTATTTACCACTAATATATACTGATTGTACTGTAAGCATGAATAACTATGTACAGATTGTATCGAATAGTGTATTTACTCACTGTACTTAATTACACACGACACTTAGCTATATGTAAATATTTACCACTCATTTATATAACCATCTGCTGATTGTACTGTAAGCACAAATAGCTATGTACAGATTATTTTTGAATATTATATTTACTTTCTGCAATTGATTACACACGGTACTTCATGTAATTATCTACCACTAATGCGTATAACCATTTACTGACTGTACTGTATGCACGAAAAGCTATGTACGGATTGTTTCGAATATTGTATATACTCTCTGCATCGGATTACACACGGCACTTCTCTGTATGTAACTACTCACCACTAATATACTACCATCTACGGATTGTACTGTAAGCACAAATAGCAATATACAGTTTGTATCGAATATTGTATCTACTCTCTACACTTGTTTGCACACGGTACTGTACTATATGTAATTTTGTAATTACTCTCTACAATTGTCTGCACACGTTACTTTACTATATGTAATTATTTAACACTAATATTTATCACTACTTTCTGATTAAAATGTACTAGAAAGCCCGGCGGTCATTCGAAATGACCGCTGTTCTAGATATTATAAATTGTAATTAAAATGATTTGTGCAAAGGTGTCTGCTAATCCAAACTGAATTACCCAGGGTAGGCGGCGAGGACGCCCTTCTGCTTACTGCCCCACGGGTTTCCCCCTTGCTTAAAGTACAGTGCAATGAAGGAAACCGCTGGCGGTACATTCCTTAAGAGCCACGGCTAGCTTCAATAAATAAAGGCGATTTAAATAATGAAATGTTAATTCATATGTCAAAGATCTTTTTGTACGCACAACATTTCTTGTGTAGATCTTTCCATGATTTTTAAGCTCGCCTGGCAAAGGACCATCCATTATTTTTAATTTTACGTCCGTTCTTTCACGAACTATTGAACAGGAAACATAAAGTTGACCGTGTCCAAGTGCAGGCTCAGGTAAATAAAACGCCAATACGCTTAAGTGTTTGGCCCTGAGACTTATGGATGGTCATAGCAAGGCAAGTTTTACAGGAAATTGTCTACGTCTCAATTGGAAACGGCAACCCTGTGCCGTGGCAACTTCATCCCATTAGCTAGTACAGTTACGCAAGCAACCAATAAACTATCGGCGACAACAGACACTTAAACCGCATATATATGGGTGAAGTAACTCATCTCCTCCGAACGCTGGCTCCCGAGCTTAGCGAAACAGATCGTTGGATTCTGCAGGTCCGTGTCACGCCATTTTGACCATTCGCATCTTCGTGGGACTTTAATTAGCCGAGATATTTATTAAAAACTAATTTTCCCTTACATTTTCCTCTTTCTTGGGTTTTCGCTTTAGAGGGATTTGGCTACGTGTCAAATTCTTTTTTCTCGAATATCTACTATCTATTTCTGAATATCGTTCTCATCTTTGTACGACTTTAATCGGCCGAGATATTAATTAAAAACTGTGGAAACGTTAATTTCCGCGCTCATTTTTCCGAGTAGCAACACTAAACTATCGGCGACACACACCCTAGCCGCTTATATATATAAAAGATGCACAAATAGTTTCTTACAGATGCTTTGTATATTATATCTAATCACTGCATTTGATTATACACGGTTTGTACTAATGTCAGCTTTACTTATCCACTACTATTATCCTAATCAAGTACTTATGTTTAATGATCCACCATTACTTATGCAATCATGTTCTGTA